AAAACAGTATGGCAGTTCCCCTAAAAATGAAACAATTACCATATGATCCAGCAGCTTTCCTTCTGTGTATATACCCAAAATAAATGAAGGCAGATACTTGAACAGATACCTGTACATCCATGTTCTTAGCAGCATTATTCACAATAGACGAAAAATGGAAACAACACAAATATCCATCAATGAATGAACGGATAAACAAAATGTGGTATATACATACAATGGGGTGTTAATTTATCCTTAAAGGGGAAGGAAATTCTGATGCATGTTACAACATGAATGAAGTTTGAAGACATCATACTAAGTGAAGTAAACCAGATGCAAAAGGACAAATATTGTAGATTCCACTTACCTGAGGTACTTAAGGTAATTTAATTCATAAAGATGGAAAGTAGAATGTGGTTGCCAGGGAGTTAGGAGAAGAGAGAATGGGGAGTTGTTTAATAGGGAGTTGGATACAAAGTTCCAGTTTGGGATAATAAAGTTCTGGAAATGATAGCAGTGATGGTTGCTTAATAATATGAATGTACTTGATGCCAGTGAACTGTATACTTTAAAATTGTAAGTTTTTTGTTACATATATTTTACCACAATGAAAAAAGTTTTTTAATGACTATGATTAATATCAGCCAAAGACATATTATCTTCAAAGGAGCCATGGTAAAAATGACAGTTAAAGTCTCAACAGAAATTATGGGAACCAGAATACAGTGGAACATCTTTAAAATTCTTAAAGAAAATCTAATATGGAATTCTGTATTCAACAAGAATCCCTTTCAAAAGTGGAGGTGAAATAAAGACATTTAAGGCAAACAAATAATGAAAGAATTTATTGCCAACAGATCTATATTAAAACAAATACTGAGGACAGACAATACCAAGGTCAGCATGGATATAAAACAACTGTAAAGACAGGTTACAACTAGTGCAATAAAGAAAGAAAAAGATAAAATATATAAAATTTAGAAAAAGGAAGAAATAAAACATATTTGCTGACTGCGTGCTTGTGTACTTAGAAAATCCAAAAGAATCATTAGAATAAAGTGAATTTATCAAGGCCTAGATATAAAGTAAATAAATAAAAATTACCTGTATTTCTGTATACCAGCAAAAAAACAAGTAATAATTTTTTTTAAGTGATACTGTTTGGTACATCCCAAAAAACATCAATACCTAGAAATAAGGCTAATGAAAGATATGTAAGACCTTGACACTGAAAACTATAAACATTACTAAGGTAAACTAAAGAAAATATAAGTACATGAAGAGATACATACAATGTTCAAGGATTAAAAGACTCAATACTGTTAAGATGTCAGTTCTCCCCAAACTTACCTACAGATTCAATGCAATTTCAGTCAAAATTCCACCAGATAGAGAAAGTGAGAGTGTGTATGAATAGACAACCTTATTCTAAAATTTATGTGGAAATACAAAGAGATAAAGAGTCAATCCTTTTTTTTTTTTAATTTTATCCTACTCTGAAGGAGAACAAAACTGGAGAACTTAAAACACTAGGTAGCAATTCCTATTATATAAGTATTAGTGTAGTGTTGGCATAAGGATAGACAAATAGGCCAGTGGAACAGAAGAAAATCCAAAAATAAATTCACATATATGTGGTCACCTGATTTACAACAAAGGTGACACTGGAATGCAATGGGTAAAGGATGATTTTTTTTTTTAAGATTGTATTTATTTATTTGACAGAGAGAGACACAGCGAGAGAGGGAACACAAGCAGGGGGAGTGGGAGAAGGAGAAGCAGGCTTCCTGCCAAGCAAGGAGCCCGATGCGGGGCTGGATCCCAGGACCCTGGGATCATGACCTGAGCCGAAGGCAGATGCTTAACGATTGAGCCACCCCCAGGTGCCCCAAGGATGAACTTTTTAATAAATGATGCTGAGTCAATTTGTATTGATATGAGAAAAAATGAATTTTTATCTCTTCTCAAACCATACATAAAAATCAATTCCAGATGGATCATAGACTTAAATGTGAAAGGCAAAACATTAACGCTTCTAGAAAAATATATAGGAGAATACCTTATGATTTCAGGGTTGGCAAAGACATAAAACAATAAAGCTCTAATTATAAAGAAAAAAGACAAATTAAATTAAAATAAAAATCTCTGTTCATTAAAAGACATCATCAGTGTGAAAAGGCAAGCCACAGAGTAGGAGACAATATTGACTATTTATATATCTAATAAAAGATTTGATTCTGGAATACATAAAGAACTAAAAAAAAAATCAGTAAAAGTCTGCCAATATATTTTTTTAAATGGGCAAGAGATTTGAACACTTTACTAAAGAAAATATTCAAATGGCCAATAAATATGTGAATATAATGTTAGTCACCATGAAAATGCAACTTAAATCCACAATGGAACATCTCCAGAATAACTAAAAGAAAAAAGATGATACCAAGGTTAACAAGGATTTAAATAGTGTTAAAGAGTATTTGGTTCAAATTCCAGCTATGCCACTTGCTAGCTGTGTGACTTTGGGAAAACCACTTACCCTTCATGGGTCTCAGTTTCAACATCTGTAAAATGAGAATAACAACTAACTCACAGTGTTGTGGAAATGATTCATGTTAAGTGCTTCACATAATCCAGATTGTATCAGCTATTATATCATTTAATCTTCACAATAACCAATAAATTTAGCAATATTATATCATTACAGATAAGGAAATTGAGGCCTACAAAGATAAATCACTTCTCACAGTTATTAAGAAATAAAGAGGAGAGTGAAATACATTTCTATCTCAGCTCCAAAGTCCTTACTTTTAGTTACTATGCATACTAATTACCAATTCCTCTCTTGGCAGATATGTAAAGAGAGTATTGAGTAGTTGCCAGACATGAATATTAGTAGACACAGTATCAAACTTTTTTTTTTTTTAAGATTTTATTTATTTATTTGACAGAGAGAGAGAGACAGCGAGAGCAGGAACACAAGCAGGGGGAGTGGAAGAGGGAGAAGCAGGCTTCCCGCTGAGCAGGGAGCCCGATGCGGGACTCGATCCCAGGACCCCGGGATCATGACCTGAGCCGAAGGCAGACGCTTAACGACTGAGCCACCCAGGGGCCCTCAAACTTCTCTTATAGCTGTTAACATGTACATTTATTGTTCAGACTCCTTCTCTAGGTTTTGAAGTTCTATTGCATTGTCTGCTTGCCTGGATTCCAAGTCCTGCTATCCTAACCATGGCCTAGCTGTAGATTTTTTTTTTTTTTTTTAGATTTATTTGTTGATTTTTAGAGAAAGAGAGAGAGAGTGGGGGCAGGGGGAGGGGCAGAGGGAGAGGGAGAGACCATCTTAAGCAGACTCTGTGCTGAGCACGGAGCCCCACTCAGGGTTTAATTTCACAACTCTGAGATCACAACCTGAGCCAAAACCAAGAGTTGGAGGTTCAACCGACTGAGTCACCCAGGTGCCCCAACATAGCTGTAGATTTTAAAATATGCTGCCTGGTTTCTTGGTGTTATGTTTGCCTGTTCCTGTCTATCTGCCTAGTTATGACTCACAGTTTCTCCTTAGTTAGGTCACAGCTCAAATGTCACCTTGATCACTGTAACATCTTCCAGGTTTATTTTCTCCAGTACTTAATCACAATCTGAAAATACTGTTTATTGTCTTTCTCTTCCAACAAGAATATAAGCTCCATGAGAGCATAAACCTACATTTGTTTTATTTTGTTTTGCTGCTTATCTTCAGAGCCCAGAAGAATGGACATTCACCCAGAAGAACAGACATTCAATCATTATTGCGTGGATGGACTTTGTGTCCTGACCTCACAACTCTTGTGCACTCCAGCTCAAATTTTTTAATGGTTCTAGCCCTCAGCCTAACCTTTCAGAACTTGACACAGCTTAGGTGATTTCACTCACCCTCCTTGTTCATAGAGCTTACTCACTTTTAACTTCTAGTCTAACAGTTAATGACAGGTTGTCATTCTAATGACCAAATAGTTTTTATATTCCCTTTAATTAAAATGGAATTTTACTTTAAAGGGACTTAGAGATATATTTTTTCATAAGATTTTAAAAATAAATGTTATTTTCTGTTTTAAGTCATAAGTTAGTTATGATCCCTTATAGGATTTTACACACTAATATTTTACTTCATTAAAATGAGGCAATATATGTAAAGCACCTAGCATATGTGGTAGCTACTCAAATGTTAATGATTCTTTTCATTAAAATTTTTAATTATTAAAATTGCTTGCCTTTTTAAAAAAAGTACGGATACTTGAAATACTGTGGGGTTTGGTCTTATCAAGTACCTAAAAATTCAGACTTAAAGTTTTTAATTTTGTCCTCAACAGTAACTCAAGAATTGAAAAATATTTTTATGGCAGATACTCTTCCTACACTCAAAGACAGCAAAAATCACAGAGAAAGTAGGAAAAATAGATATTTTAAAATAAGTTTCCAGACCTAATTCTTCTCCGGATGTGGTCTTATTTCATTCTTTTTTCTAGTTCATTGTTAGTCAAAATAAAATTTATTTTCTTTTCTTTAAATGTTAGACCCATGGATCTTTCAAATGGACCACATATAAAGACAGTATGTATCAGTAACTTACAGATGTAGGTATTAATGTAGTTGATCATATTTAATTTAAAAAAATTTTGGACTCTCTTCTGACAGGAATGTGACTGAAGATAGAGTAAATCAATGGTGGAAATTATTTCAGTGCATAAAATAAAGAACTGAGTTTTCTGATACATGCTTTTAAGATATGACCCACCATTATGAACTACTGAAGTATTAAATTTCTGTGTGATAATGGTTTTTAAAACGTATGCACATGATTTTGCTTCTTAACTTTACAATGAATATTTGGAGCTGTCTTAACTATAAAGATATCTGACTTGACTGTGATACAACTTTCTGATAAAAAATCATTAAAAAATTAATCCCACTTAACCATGTTTGTTTCAGATGGATTTATAGTACTATTTTATTCAAATTATTTTTCTTTTAAATATTAGCATGTACACCACAGAATCACAAAATGAACATCTGGAGGATAAAAACACCTCATCATCTACAACTCCTCAGGTAAAAACCTAAAACTATTTTGTAATATATGACATAGAAATCAATCTGAGCTTAAAATTTATTTTTCAAGTTTACTTATTAGGTTTCTATTATATGTCTGGTTAAAAAATGAGAAGTGGTCATTTAAAAATAACTAATTTAAATAAGTACTAAGAAATGAGCAAAAGGAATGAAAAGATGGAAAGGGGTGACTAATGATTATTTTGGAGTAAAGAGAACAGATTTCAGGAATAATGGAAATACAGCTTATTATTTCTTGCCATATCTAGGAAAAACTCAGTAATTTAGACTACAAGAGGTAAAGACAAATTAATTAAAATGTTGTGCTCTATGTTTGAAAAGAACCAAGTTTTTATTTTTCCAAGTGTACAGAGTAAGTCATAGACCTTCTGTTGATCTAGTTTTACTGTGTAATAATTGCTCATAATTAGAATTATAAATTGTTTACTTTTTAAAAAAAACGTTTACTTTTTAAAATAGAGGTTTCTATAGTTCTTAAGGGCCCAAAAGTTCTTCCTTTAAATATTTAAAATATTCACCATTGATTCAAGTTATTTGTCTGTAAAGACTTCATCCTAGTCTATGTCAATTTATTATAAATTCTGAAATAATAAAACTTAAAATAATATGGTCTTACCTCATATGACCTTTTACCCACACTAATCAAAATTCATCTTTGTGTCTTTACCTTGGCCCTTTTGTATAATGACAGACTTCCCACAAAAGTCTCTATACCAGAACTCCAACAAATTAATCATGATCAGATTTAAAGAACTTTGATATTAAAAGAACTACATAATTCATTTACATCAGCTGCTGTGGTGCCTTTGCCTCCCTAGTCATTAAATATTTCCTCTTCACTTCCTTAATCTGTCCCTTCCTCTATCCCTTGTTGCCATTTCTTGTGACAATGCAATGTTCTCTCTCCACTGCACTCAAAGTATTATCAATATACTCAAAGTGTTGGCCTGTGTGTACACATGCATACATGTGCATGTGCACACAAACACACACACACACACACCATGATGGCAATAAGACAAATTTGAAGATTTCTATTTCAAGGTTAACCCTACTCTGTTTTGTTCTTTTATTTTTTGTCTTGTTTTGTTTACCTTGGGAGAAACCTCTCAATATTCTCACCAACTAAGATGTCTTTTTTTTTTCTAAATCAGTTTTATAATTAGACTAACCACCATTAAAAGCCTGGAAGATGCAGCTAACCCCTGAACTACCTAAGGGTGTTATCTATAATTAATAGTGGGAGCATGAACCTTAAATTTCTGAAAGCTTGATCTGTTTTTCTCATTTTTCCAGTTATATAATTTTTCAAATGAAATGAGTCCAAGTAAAATTATATTTCACCTCCTTCCCAACTTAGTTGTATTTTCATTCTACAAAAGTTTTATTGAATAATCTTTGGGAGTAAGACTGAAGAGAAACACTTTTAATTATTCTGCCTACACTATGGGCTCACTTATTCAGTTTGCATAAATCACAAATGACAATAGCAGGGACTCAAGTCTATAAAAGCTAAATCAAGGTGCTCTACAAAATGCATTCCTGTGACGTCCTCAAATACCTAATGATATAGTACATGAATATTCTTTTATATGTGTAATTCTCCATGGTGACAGTAATAATCTGAATTTAATTATGAGATTTGGTGGTTTTTTACATTCATAAAATTGTATGAAAAGTATATTTCTTAAAAGATTTCCTTGCTTTACTTCAGATCCTCAAAGATAGTAGTATTAGTGAACATGAAGAAACTAAGGAAACTGTCTTGTCACAAACAGAGGAAACAAAACCACAGATGGAAAAGACGTATTCTTGTCCCCCACAAGGAAAATTGAATAAACTTATTACAAATGGTATGTGAAATAAGAAATGTAAGTGGAGAGAAAATGAGAGATATATTTGATAAATATATATTTTTACAGATTTTATTCATTTATTTGACAGAGAGAGAGCACAAGCAGGGGGAGCCCCAGAGGGAGAGGGAGAAGCAGTCTCCCTGGTAAGCAAGGAGCCCGATGCGGGGCTCGATCCCAGGACCCTGGGATCATGATTGAGCCTAAGGCAGACACTTAACCGACTAAGCCACCCAGCTGCCCCTATATTTGATAAATATTAAAACACAAACCATCAAGGCTACTGCTAAGTCTATATATTTGATGTATACTTCAGCTATATACTTCAGCTCTTATTACAAGCAATATGTGGACAAAGAGGAAATATTTCCTTAACTCTGTCAAAAACTAATAATATTTGCTTAGCAGATACATATTTTAATGTTTTTCATGACTTCTTATATTAAATCTTGAGGATTAGAAACAGCATTGATTAAGAGGCACCTGGCTGACTCAGTCAGTAGAGTATCCAACTCTTGATCTCAGGGTTGTGAGTTCAAGCCCCACATTGGGTGTGGATTCTACAAGAAAGAAAGAAAGGAGGGAAGGAAGGAAGGAAGGAAGGAAGAGAGAAGGAAGGAAGGAAAGGGAAAGAAAGAGAAAGAACGGGCATTGATTAAAGATTTTTACTTAAAGCCACTTTTGATATTTAGTTTTTTTAAGATTTATTTTTAGAGAGAGTGTGAGTGCGAGTGGGGGGAGGAGCAGAGGGAGAGAATCTCAAGCAGACTTTCCACGGAACCCAGAGCCCAATGTGGGGCTCAGTCTCAGAACCCATGAGATCATGACCTGAGCCAAAATCACCAGTTGGACACTTAACTGACTGAGCCCCCCAGGCACCCCTGATACTTAGTTTTAAGTCAGCTGAAAAGAACATTATACTCCTAGCAATATTAAGGTTCTTAATAAAATTAAGACCCAAATTTTTAAAAAGCTGCTGCCTTGTAAAGAATTGTATAAAATTTGCTTTACCATTAAAATTTTAAAGCATGTCATTATCATACATTTATAAGTTGTCACCTAATACTATTAAAAGATTTTCTTGATTTTTTTCTAGATATTCTATATGATTTAACTTAGAGAGATTTGGGCCTCCAGAAATATAGAGCCTATGCAGAACAAAATTTAGTTTAAAATATGATGAAGGATAAGTAACTGAAGTTTTAAAATTTTCTTTTCTTTTTTTTTTTAAGATTTTTGTTTATCGAGAGGGAGAGCGAGAGTGCACATGTGCAAGCTGGGGGAGGGGAAGGGAGAGAGAAAATCTCAAGCTGACTCTGCACTGAGTGCAAAGCCTGATGCAGGACTTGATCTCGTGACCCTGAGATCACGACCTGAGCAGAAACCAAGAGTCGGACACTTGTGACCGACTGAGCCCTCAGGCAACCCTAAAATTTTACTCTATTTGCTGCTTGCTAACTTTAAACTTTTGAAACCAAATTTTTTTAATTGATTTTCCCTTTAGTAAAAGTTACTTTTTAATTAACATCAATATTTTTAAGGTTCTAAAGCTGAACTTGAACATCTGACAGTGTAAAGTGATCAGACTCCTTTGTAAATATAATGTCTGCACATAGATCTTACATGCACAATTCCCACATTCTATATAGTGAGCATTGTCTATACAGCAATTGTTAGGAGTGGGGACAGGGCCTGTGAAGAGAGGAAAATGTATTGGTCACAAAAGATTATCCACTGAGATTGAGAACTGCAGTTTGCTCAGAAACTAGTTTAGGAGTTTTATAACACCAGTATTGAAACTATAAACATACTTGGTTCTCTAACTCGTTTTCCCCTTTGTTTTCTTTCATTTTTGATTTTTCAAATTTAGAGAAATTTATAGGAAAAGGATCTTCCATGTTTCTATCTTGGGGTGTGTATATCCTTGTATTCTCTTTTTCTGTCTCTGTCTTTCTGTCTCCATCTCCATCTGTCTGTCTGTGTCTTATCTCTGCCTCTCTCACACACACACCCATACACCCTACATTCACTAAAGAAACTCTTAAAACATATTCTCTAGATAATAGCATATGTTCTAGATAATGGAGATAGAGCTGCAGTTTCTCTATAAATCATATTTAATTCACCAATCCCATAGTGCATATAAGTTAATTTAGTAAGAAATCTAAACTCTCAACCACATGTAGAAATCAGTCTCATCACTTTTAATCACACTATTTATGTTTTTTACTCAGGTGGTATCTTGCCTAGTTCCAAAGAAATAGAAATATTCTAGGGGAATAGGTTTGGGTTTTAGGCTATTATTCCTTTTTTGTTTCTTTTGAGTTTCCTTTCAATAAAGATACTTTATTTTCAATAAAAGGTACTTTATAACTATTTTCATAAAGTTGTTTTTCCTTTAAATAAAAAAACGGAAAGCTTTATTATACATCCAACTATGATTTTCACGTAATCTTAGGGCCAGAATTTCTCCATTAAAATCTTATCATCAGTGTTATGAAGTAACACTTGATGTTACTTGAAAGTTTAGAGCTCAAAAATAATATCCCAGACACTTCCAGTTTCTGGTCCAGCATCATTCCTCTACCTTAACATATAAAAAGCTGAACAAACTGAAAAATTAACAACTCTTCTTAGTTCCACCAAATGAAGTAAGGTTAGAGGGCAAATACCTGCCCCCAAAATTGGAGACAGCATGTGGATACAGAGAATCATAACTTATCAGAGCAGAAACCTCTGCAGGAACCAGTACTAGGGTAGGTAAACCTAAATTGTAATTGACAAATTGGCTAGAGACTCAGTGTGGACAAGTCTGAGGTGGGGGTAGACCAGTCATGGTGTGGGAAACACACTTTTCTGAGTTTTACCTCCAGGAGCCATCTGGCAGGGGGAGGGGGAAAGTAATCATATGCAGTATACCAGAGATTTCTACTCTTCTTAAGAATACCTTCCCTCAAGAGAAACTGTTTTATCAGAACCTAACCTACGGGGATTTTATCAGAACCAAACTGACGTGGGAAAGGAGAAATAACCAACAGTTGCCCCCTCTATATAACCTCCACTAGCCACCTTATAAAACCTAATGGGGTAGAAAAAAAAAAAAACTGAGAGGCACTTGTGAGGTTCACAGCCCAGGATCACAGGCTCACTAAAGACTGGTTCAGAACTCTATAGAAGTCTTCCCCTTCCCCCACAACTTACCACTATATTACCAAAGGTCTTTTTACCCAGGACGATATATTCACTTTTAAGCAAAAATATATAAGATGTATTAAAAAGCAAAACAAAACAAACAAACAAAAAAACCGCACACACACAGTTTGAAGAGACAAAGAATCACTAGACCCAGATATTGCAGGGATGTTGGAATTATCAGACTGTGAATTTAAAACAACTATGACTAATATACTTAGGGCTCCAATGGAAAAGTAAACATGTAAGAATGGAAAGGTAATATAAGCAGAGAGCTGGAAGTTCTAAGAAAGAACCAAAAAGAAATGCTAAAGAAATTAAAAAACACTAATGGAAATGAATGTCTTTGATGGATTCATTAATAGACTGTACACAGCTGATGAAAGAATCTCTGAGCTTGTGGATCTGTCAATAGGAACTTCCAATGCTGAAAAGTAAGGAGGAAGAAAAGATTGGAAAAAAGGAACAGAATATACAAGAACTGTGGGACAACTACAAAACGTATTGGGAATGGGGCGCCCGGGTGGCTCAGTCATTAAGCGTCTGCCTTCAGCTCAGGTCATGATCCCAGGACCCTGGGATCTTAAAATAGAAGTAATGGGAATAGCAGAAAAGAAGAGAAAAGGCAGCAGAAGAAATATTTGAAACAATAATGGCTAAGAATTTCCCCCAAATTAATGTCAGATAGAAAACCACAGATCCAGGAAGCTTAGAGAATTCCAAGCAGGATAAATACCAAAAAACAAACAAACAAAAATACTACACCTGGGTATATCATATTCAACCTACAGGAAATCAGAGATTTTTTAAAATCTTGAAAGAAGCCAGAGGAGGAAATAACACTTTACTGATAGGGTAGCAAAGATAAAAATTATATCTGACTTACCTGCAGAAACAATGCAAGCAAAAAGAAAGTGAAATGAAGTATTTAAAGTGTTGAGACAAAAACAACAACACACCAGCCTAAAATTCTGTACGCTACAAAATCATCATTCAAAAGTTTAGGAGAGGGATTCCTGGGTGGCTCAGTCTGTTAAGTGTCTGATTTTTGAACTGAGGTCATGATCTCAGGGTTGTGAGACTTAGCCTCACATCAGGTTCCATGCTGGGCATGGAGTCTGCTTAAGATTCTCTCTCTCTTCCTCTGTTCCTCACCCCCAAATTAAAAAAGAAAAGTGAAGGAGAAATAAAGAGTTTCTCAGACCAACAAAAATCAAACCAGTAAATCTGCCTTGCAAAATGTTAAAAGAAATTCTTCAGAGAGAAAAAAATTATATAGGTCAGAAACTCAGATTTACATAAAGAAGGAAGAGCATCAGAGAAAGAATAAGTGATGGTAAAACAAAAACATGTTTTTAATATTCTTAAATGATTGAACAGATAACAGTTCACAATAATAGCAAAAATATATTCACTGATTATAGCTAATACATAAGTGAAATGAATGAAAGCAGTGATACAAGAAACAGGAAGAAGGAATTCGGAATATTTTGTTTTTATAAGGTACTTGCACTACCCATGAAGTGGTAGTGTTATTTGAAAATGGACTTGGATTAGTTGAAAATGTATTTTACAAACTCTAGGCAACCCCTAAAAAGAAAATGAAAAAATAAATATAACTGATATGCTAAGAAAGGAGAGAAAATGGAAGTATATAAAATGATCAGTTAATTGGCACAAAAGGTAAGAAAGAATGGAAGACAAAAAATAGAAACAAAAAATAGGGGCAATAAATAGCGAACAGTAACAAACATAGTGGATATTAATCTAACTATACTGATAGTTAGAGGTCAGTGGTCTAAACACAC